AACAAAGCGCACCTTCCTTAGCTCCCTTCGCGCTTCCGCTCGTACTCTGCTTGAGCGTGCAACTCCACTTCCTTCACAGCCAATCTCGCAAACAGATCCTGATGCGCGACGTGGAGAAGAGCCCAGTTCCTCGTCTCAGGCTATCGACGCCTCTCACCAACCGCACAAAAGGGGCCTGATGATGCCAACAAAACTCAAAATCTTCAAGCTGCATCTGCACAGTCCAAAGATGCTCTCGAAAATGGTCAAGGATCCGAAAGGATACGCGAAACACCTGGATGACGTCACGCGGAAGAGCAAACAACTGAGCCCGCACATCAACTACGCCAACATCGCCCCTACATTTGCTGCAGGCAAGAAGAGCCGGTACGAGAGCTATGCATTGCTAGGAAAGGCTCGAGTAGAGCCCTCATCGCTGTACGCTGATCCCAAGCTGAAGTTGAGCAGTGGATGAACGATTGTCTCGCCTTGCACCCAGCGATAAGCAGTCTCAATGCGGAGTGCGCTTTGGTCCGTGAATCTAGATGGAAGAGGAAGAGGGGACACTGTGTCTTAGCTAGCGCATCCACAACGCCTCCCCTACTCGATGCGCCATGCTCACTCTATGGTAGCTCGGGTTCTCGACCGTTCGCACGCCGGCCAGGTTGGCAGCAGCCAGTTCGGTCCAATTGGGCGATGCCATCTGACCTCTTGCGATAGCAATGAGATCTGCATGACCATTTTGAAGCGTCGCTTCGGCCACCTCTCCTGCCTTGTCGTTCGGTCCCGACTCGAGCATGCCGACGGACATGACCTTCATCGAGGGCAGATTCAGCGATTTGATGCCGGCGGCCAATGGCGCTTGGTAGGCGTGCCCAACCTTGTCGTGCGTGGTAGACGATGCGCCCAAGTCAGTTGCAGCAAGAAATGACGGCGCAAACAAGATTGCGGGGAAGAGCTCACCTGGATCTGTTGCTCGGCCACTAGACCGCCGGAGCTGACATCCAGCACAGCCACACCCTCTCGATCCAAGATTTCTGCCAGCTTCTTGGTCTGCTCCAAGTCCCACACCTCTGTACCCTGGGCAGCCAAGTGATCACATTGATCCGTAGCAGAGATTCGCACCCAGAGCGAGCGTTCTGGCCACCTGGCTCGGATGGCCTTGATGACGTCCAAGGAAAACTTTGTGCGACCCTCGAAGGAACCGCCATACTGGTCTGTGCGCTTGTTGGATAGCGGCGAGAGGAATTGGTGCTGAAGGGGATGCAGAAAAGATGGACAAGTGTCAGTGCGCAAGGCAAGCTACGCATCTTTGCCGCCACTCTCCATATCCCCACTCACTCCGAGGTAGCCGTGAGCCAGGTGGATCTCGATGAAATCGACACCGACCTTGTCGTAGGCTCTCTCTGCAGCTTGGATGAATTGCTGCTGTATATCCTCGATCTCGCTGATGCTCAGCTCGCGAGGTTTGAACCAGTTGGGTCCATAAGGGACAGCGCTGGGAGCGACAATCTCCTCTGGCCAACCGCCTTCCTCCTCTTCCGCCCACTCCTCGTGCTTGCGTGGGCGACGCTGAAAAGGCGGAAATGTGGAGGATTTCCTGCCTGCATGGCCCAGCTGCACGCCCACTGTCAGACCGGGCGAGAGGGTGCGTAGGGATGATACGAGGGAAATGAATGCTGGAATCTGCTCATCCTTCCAAAGACCCAGATCTGCCATGCAAGAAGACGTCAAACATGGCGTGAGCGCGAATGGGAGCATCAGCCATCTGACGTTGGCTGTCGACTGCGCGAGATGAGTGGAGATGAGATGCTCACCATGCGTACTGATCCTGCCAGCTGGAGTGACGCCAGTGGTCTCGAACATA